ACTTATTTTTAATTGAAACGTATTGAAAATTTTCTTTAAAACCACATTATCTTACTGTAGTTTAGAAAAATGCCATCTCATTAAATATTTATAAAAAACATTATCGAAGTAAACTTAATTTAAAAATTAAAAATGTATTAACTTCAAAATTTATTAAACAATTTTCATTATTCTATTGGTAAATAAAACATTCATAATGTCAGAGTGAAGCCCATGTCTAAATAAAACAAGTTTTTGAGCTATATTAAGTCAAAAGATGTAAAGTCAGCAGAGAAGGTAGGCATGTAAGTAACTGAAAGTTAAGGCAATAGTTGTGAAGTTAACAATAATGTACGTAAGCAGATATCCTACTTTTCTTTAATTATCAATAAATATAAGCTTGTTCATTTTTAAAAAACTGGGAAAAAAATTATTACTGATAACGAAAAGCTTACAAAAATTTTACTTTTAGCTTTAATTTATATTAGAAATCGAAAAAAAAATGTAACTACAAAAATTTATGGAGTGTTAATTACTTAAGCTACTAATACGTAAAACTAATGTCAGAGAGATGTAAAGATACTATAAAACATATGAAAAAAGAGATAATTTTTAAAACAGTCGCTGAGAACATTTTTCAAGTTACAAATAGTTTAATATCTAGTAATAGCATAAAACTAATTTAAGTTTGATCTGTTAACATTTGCTAGATTTTAGTGACATATACTCAGCATAATATTCAGAACTTGAAAATGTAAGAATTTTAGTAAGTAAAAAATGTCAGTTTAAAATTTCTACATTCAACCACTCTTTGTGAGTCTCGTCCAATCACAGAACGAATAAAATGGCTTCAGTCACGTGACAATCAATCTTTTAAGATGGGATAGTTCTTCAAAATAACCCAAAACCTTTTAAAATCCTAGTTATGTCCCGAACCAAGAGGTACCATAAACCTGGTAGATCTCAAATATAACGTTTCTACTGAAATTTTTGTGAGCTAATATATTGCTGACCTTAAATTTTAGAAACCTTTCTGAAACGTTGTATTTGAGGTCCAACGAGATTTGTGATATCTTATTGTTACTGACGTACACATGTTTTTAAAATATTTTATAACTGTTTTCAAGCTTATTTTGCTTCAAAATGCACGTTTCTGAAACCCTTTGAAAACGACCAATGTTGCGTGGCTAATGAAAACTTTATTTATATTACGATGAACACAAACCTCCATCAAATAGTTATAGAGCGAGCCAAGCGGATGATAGGCGGTGACGAGCAGGAGTTGAGTACAACTTGAGCGACTAGTCATGTCGCTACCAATGTAGCCCAGTATGTTGTCGTGTCGACTGAGCAACAGTTTAGAGTAGAACTCGGTTTCACGGGCCCACATGGCCTCGTCACGCGAGGGGTAAATTTTAACGGCAACGTTGACACCCTGGTAGATACCCCGCCAGATCTCGCGGCCGAAACTGCCACCACCCCGGCTTTTGCTCAAACACTCGACCAGTTCCACCTGCTTCCCTAGAGTACGCTGAACCAGCAGTGGTAGGCCAGAGCCAGAGCCACTCGTCAAGCTTTGGCCCTCCAGATATTCCTGTGCACAATAGGAGGAGATCCATTAATTTTCATACAAGCCATATACCATATAATTTGTACTTATTTATAATTAATCTATTTTTTTTTTAGCCAGGAAAGTAGTTCTCAATTAATTCGTATGCAAAGCTTCCTTCAACTCTTAAATAAAATCATTTTATGAATTGTCTACCTTAACGATAAAATCTTTCAAAAAGTTAATATTATACGTTACAATTTAATCTAATTCAGGAAAAAAAATTTTACCTTTAGTGTACTATCACCAGCAGCTGTAGCTCTAAGCTCATGTGAACAACTCGCGTTGCCACCAGTCGAACCAGCGGAAAAGGCAAGTAATGGTGGGTCCATGCCTGGCTCAATGAGTTTTTTGCAGCGCCGATTTGCCAGAAAAGTTGTCTTTGAGTTATCGCGACTATTGTTCTTTCGATTCCTATAGTAAAGATAAATTCCGAAAAATACGAGGATCAATATAACGATAGGTCCGAGAACTATGAGTGTGATTTTGAGCGCGTTGTTTATGCCGGTTTCATCTGTAAATAGTTGAAATAATGATTACTTACGTTGCTGTAAAGTGATTAAAATTTTTTAACAAATGATAAAATTACTAATAATCGGGTCCTGGAGTACGGGAAATGAACCGACGTTACATAAATTCTCATGGCAGCACTCGGTGTTAAACGGATTAACAGCGGTAGGTCTGTTGTTCGAGTCACTCGTCGACGAGGCTGTTACGTTGCTTAATTGTACTTTGTTGCATAACAATGGCACTTGGTCAGGATTAAGGATACAGCCTCGGCTGCCTCTTTTGGTACCATCTGGATTGCGGACAGTTGATTTCCAACACTGAAAAATTGGGTTTTATTTGGAAAATTTTTTTTTTGTTGAAAATCTTTCTCAACAATGTCAAGAATTTTGATACATTACCTTCAACGCATTCTCACATATCGTTTGATTGTTAGGGACATCGCAGTTATCACTTTCGCACACGTAACATTTTAGTTTATGTTGCATTTTAATTTAAAGTGTACTTCTTGAACGATTGATTAAGGCCTTTTTTATTTCAATGTAGCTGTAAAATAAAAATATCTGTTAGTGCTGTCGTTTTTTTGTTGATAGAAATATATTTAAAAATATTTCGATGTGAATAAAGTGTCTTGGGTGAACATCGTGCAGTAAATCGTACTAATGTAATAATTCATTAATGTTACAAACATGGCATCAATAACGTAAAAATTTACAAATGCTGAACAGTAACAATCAATTCTGTAGTACATACCCAGGCTAGAAAGTAAACTAGTCATCGCTTTCAGCAGGTTCAGCAATTAGCCGTACCAAAGGTGGTAGTTTACTTTCTCGCCGAGATGCATACACGTTTTTTGTTGGATACACACACTAAAAAGTTAATGTTTCACTGAAAATTAAAACTGTGAAGTTATGTCATACACTCGTTTAAATCTTTCTTGTTATGTTTTTTTTTCAGTAGTTTTTTGTTAATTAATTAGTCAAGGGACAGTTTGGCAAACAGTGAAATATGATCCTCATATCAGCGGTGCCATTTTAAGTCATTTCACTTTGTTTAGTTATAACACTCGTAGTGAAAAGTATATAGCGTACAATAAATAAACATTGGATCACCCCAATCAATATGTCTACGCATAGTGAAATGCCTTAAAGATGGTATTCATCCGCAACGCTGTCACTTAACCCACTGTAGAAAACAAAAACTTTTTGTTGGAGATACAAATAACTGCGTCTGAATTTGTAAAACTATTTTAATTCACACCTATTAACAGTAATTTTTTCCTCTGACTAAAATTAGTTTGTTACGTAGCTTGTGCCACAGCTCATTAGAAATTCAGTCTTGCTCAAGGGCTTGTTTAACGATACATAATACTGCTTGTTCAGTCTTTATTGAGCATGATAGAGTTTGACCAAAACATTGGTAACACAGAAGGCATCTTATGCATTNAAACTAATGTCAGAGAGATGTAAAGATACTATAAAACATATGAAAAAAGAGATAATTTTTAAAACAGTCGCTGAGAACATTTTTCAAGTTACAAATAGTTTAATATCTAGTAATAGCATAAAACTAATTTAAGTTTGATCTGTTAACATTTGCTAGATTTTAGTGACATATACTCAGCATAATATTCAGAACTTGAAAATGTAAGAATTTTAGTAAGTAAAAAATGTCAGTTTAAATGATCTAAAAAAAGCTTTTCATCAATTAAACTTCTGTAAACAGTTAGCCATAAATTCACCTTATATATTGTGAAATCATTGTGACTTTGAGTATGTCGAAAATTTGACTAATTAAAAATATAGCTACAAATTTTACTGTTATACCAGTTTTTAAAGAATTTTTCGAAAGGTTTTATCATGAAAACTACATAAAATTTTAACGTTTACACAAAGCAATTGATAAATGTTCATAAATACTTATCAACATCGAATTTTTTTAAAAAGTGTACGATTTAATCAGTATTTGTTAGTTAGTCGTACATATGCATAAATTATAAAAGCTGTTTCACAAAAAACATCGCCTATGCAAAAATATTGTTTAAATAACTGTACAATAATAATATTGAGAGTAAGAT